ATCCCGCTTCCAAGATCTGGCATCTCTGCGTAGGAGCTGCTGTGCCAGGCTATGCCCAGTCAACCTCGAGCACCCTAGGAGGGCAATGGGTGTGATCTTCGAGTTCCCCTTGGTGGTTGGTGGAGTGTTTACCCCACACACAATCCAGAGTTCGTGCGTATTGCTAGAAGGGAGTGCCACCAACTGCATCCCATAGGCCAGGTCCAGCCGGGCACTTCTTTCTGTGTGACTCCCCTCAGCTAATAATGGTTTTTATATTTTTAAATGAAATGGTTGGGGGATAAAAATAAAACCAAAGAAGATTTTTATGATTCATGAAAATTATTTGAAATTTAAACAGTTTTATTAGAATATACACTTGTTTATTTACACATTACCTATGGCTTTTAAAATCTTTGGTACTAGGGATGGTACTGGGTCCTCTTTACATCCCAGTTCCTTTTATTTTTTTTGAGACAATTGCCCAGGCTGGCTTTGAACTTCTGACCTTCCGCAGCCTCCCCACTGGCTGGGATTGCACTGTGCACCCCGTGTCCGCCCCTATGATTGATTTCGTGGGCTGCAATAGTGGAGGCGAGCAACTGCAAAGAACACTCAGCGGTCCACAGAGCTGAAAACACTCACAGTCTGGCCCTTAGCGAAGGGGTCTGTCCATCAGCCCGGCTCTAGAGCACTCGCTTTGTGCCTGCGACATCTTTGATTCACTTTTGCGGAAACATACTGTTATTATCCATGGTGCTAGGTCTTTGCCCATGTGCTGTATCCTCAGCCCTTTTTAATTTGGAAACGGTCTGGCTAACATCGCTATGTTGCCTGGGCCAGGTTCAAACTTTCGGTCCTCCTGCCTCAGCCTCCCATCATGCTGGGTAACACGCATGTGCCACTGGGCCTGGCTCAAGAAAGTAGTATAAAGTGCAGGGCGCTTCCCTTCTTCCACAGCCTGTGCGTGTATGGGGTGAACCCCACAAATCCCTTTGCCTGGGAACCTCGGGGAGGTGTGGAGCACAGCAGACAGCTGCAGAAAGTGGTGGCCTCCGTGGCACAGGACCTCGTCAAGGGTAAGCCAGGCCGGGCCCCTCAACATGTCACTATCTCCCCCGGGTGCTTATGCAGGATCACCTGGTGGTTGGAGTCGGCACCTCCCGTGTTAATGGTCACGCTGCCTGTGCTATATTTACCGAGCTTCCTTCCCCCGGAAGCCGCAGCCCTGCGTCAGCGCTTGTTTCTTCTGGTAGCGTTCCTGGCCCGGGTGCTTCTGTGGCTATGATCTCTTGTGACTGGGCCACCTCTCTCTAGGCACATGAAAGAAAAATAAGCAAACCCTTATCAAAAGCTGAGAAACCCAGCTGGGTGTGCTGATGGTATCTGTGTGCGTAGCACTCAGGGAGGCTGAGAGCCAGGATGACGGTTCCTTTGAGCCCAGCCAGGACAACTTAGCCAAGCCCTGCTTCAAAGTAGAAGAAAAAAGTTAAAAAGGGTTGGGGATATACCTTAATATGAAAGCCCTGGATTCAATCCCCAGTTCCACCAAAAAAAGAAAGAGAGAAAGAAGAAAAAAAAAAATGAGAACCCCAGGGAGCTGGTCCCAGGCATTTGCTAGTTTTTTGAACTGAGGAATCAAGTGAGTGATTGGATGTGTTCTCCGCAGCGCCGATAAACCCAAAAAGTGAACTTGTTGCCTGACTCGGGTTTGAGCAGGGGCTCCACTACTTAGTGTGGGAACTGTTAGATCCCAGGAGCCGTGGTTATCTCTAAGTTTGGATGAGCACAATAAGCTTTCTACTATTGGAGAAAATGTCCATCTTACTTAACAAGTGCATGTGCGTGCTTATGTGTGTGTTCAAAAACCAAGCTCTAGTGAACCCAGGCAAGAAGTGTATGTGGGTTTAGACAACAAGTTCATCTGCCAAGATGAGACCCAGTGAAAGCCAGAAAGACAGAGGCCCCGGAGCAGGAAGTAGCTTGTTGCTGGTGTTGCAAGGGAACAGAGCTATGGGACTGACCCATGGGCACCTGGGCGGTGAGTGGGAGCTCAGGGGGCTGCACGAGCAAAGAGAGGGCCCAGTGAGCAGCCCTAACCTACAGAAGATGGGAAATGTCCCCCCAGGAGGAAGGACAGGCTCAGAAACCTTCTGGACCTCGCCATCAGCAGCCCTGTGTGGTTTGGAGAAAACCTCGATGTCATCGAGTGACTTCAGCACAAGGACAGACCAAGAGCCAGCTTTTCAGAAAAGCAAAACCACAGCAGAGGCCAGAGAGCCACTTCCCCTTGGCCTGCAGATCCCGGCTGCTCATGTGATTTCTTCTCAGGCTGGCCCTGCCCAGCCGCTGGTGTCCAGGAACAGAGAACTCGGGCTTTGGAAGTTTCGGTTTTCTTGGAAAACAAGCCTGGTGACTGGGTGGGAGGAGTGGACACCTCCAGCTCTTGAAGCTGGTCTCCAGGACACTGGGTGACTAGATGGGTCCCTCTCACTTGGGGCCCACCTGTGGACATGAGGTGCCAGTACCGAGACCCCAGGAAAAGGCTCATATTCCTCCCTTTACTAAAGGTTCTGCAATGGGCAACCACAGCAGTAGGGAAGTGCATACTGAAAACCCCAAGCCCACCACTGCGATGTGATTATTTTCAGGTTTTAATATTGATGTACACACGTGTCAGGGCTGAGTCATGGTCCACATGGAACTGTTTTTGCACATGGACCTCCTTAAGACAAGGGTGACAAGCAGCTCTCCCCACGGTGACTGCGCCTGGGTCGGGCACTCTTGGACTCTGGGTTTTCCTCTGTGTGTCCCCTCCTGTCTTCACGGGGTGGGGCTGAGTAACAATCATCCCTGCACACCATCTGCATGCACACTGTCCGGTCTGCACACGGCGCTGGGCACTGACTTGCCCAAAGCCACATCGACCCTCCGTGGGCACGTGAGGCACCACGGGAGTGGGAGAGATTGTGTGTACACTGAGTGTGCTTGACCCTGTGTGTGTGTGAGTGTGTGCGTGTGTCTGTGCATGAGTACTTAGTGTGAGCATGCGTGAGTGTGAGCAAGTGAGAGTTTGTGGGCACGGGGAGCGACTGTGGGGAGTGCCTCTCCCTCACATGCTGACTCTGCCCGGCAGAGCTGGAGCTCCCTAGGGTTGGGAGGCACAGAGGAACCCAGGATGCTCTGGGGACCAGGAGACGGAAAGGTGGACTTTTCACTGTGGCCTCTGGCCTGCCAATGAGGCCTGTGTCCACCAAGGCTGTCCTGGGCTGCAGGCCATGCGCCACACCCTGGGATTCACGATGGCTTTGCAAGGCTCCTGGTGGCTATAGACTGTGGACTTCTCACCCCCTGCCACCATAGCCAGCTGCTCATCATAAGTCTCTCTCTACCTTGGCTCTGAGGACCCTGCATACCCACTGCCCATCCTCTCCCACCACCATGGATCCTGCCATGCACTTGGCCCAGCCCCACCACTTACCCCAGGACCAGGCCATGGCCACCCTTCCCTGGAGACTGTAAAGAATGCCCACATGGCCTCTGGGTGTCCCTCCTCAGTGCCTTCCCACCCATGCTCAGTGGCTCCCCACTGCTGGATGCCTGAGTGACATTTAGATCAGAGGATGATGACCTTGGCTGCTAATGTCCCTGGAGCTCAGGGTGGGTGGGGCCCTGGCTGTGAGGTCACAGAGCTGTACAAAGGCCAAGGTTCTACAAGAGGAGGAGGAGTGGGTGGATAGGAGCCAGCCTGGGTGGCCTTTCATGACCTGTGACTGTTGCTTCTGATCTGTCAATTTCACTGAATTGGGGGATTCCAAGCAGATTAATAGAGTGGCTCCTGGGTGTGTCTGGGTGGTCACGGAGGTGTGACTTTGTGGTCTGAATCTGGTCCTTGGCCCCTTCCTCGTTGGCATTGTTTGCCAGTGCTGCTTCTTGGTTGCCATGAACTGAGCATCTTAGCTTCTGCCATGATGTTCCTGCCTTGGAGCCACTGACCATGGACTGAATCACAGAAACCATGGGCCAAATGAACCCTCTCCAACTCTGAGCTGTAGGTGTTAGATATTTTGTCTCAGTGATGAAAAAGCTGACCAATAGGACAGCTCCTGTCCTATCACAGCTTTCCCAGCACCCTCAACAGCATCCTTTAGGTTTGAGTATTAGTAAGAAAATTTCTTATTTTGGGGGCCTGTGGGGTGGCCTCTCAACATCGTTTTCTTATCTGGGAAGTCAGCAATCTGATTGTGGTATTTTACATATATAACTGAAATGCTTCCATGGCAACAAGAATGCCTCTAACCTCCAGCACAGCATGCTGTCATTGTCTGTGCAAAGAGAAGTGTGTCTGTCGGCATTTTGGGGTGATTCAGCTTTCTTTCCACCCTGAGACACAATGGAAGGTCCCCAGTTGGGGTGGGACAGTGGCTGTGGTCTGGCCCTTTGTTGGGAGGGTTTACAATACACCCACATTGTTGGCAATGACCTCATAGCAAGGTCAGAGTGGGCCCACCCTCAATGACAGCTATGCTGTGGTCACACAAAGACACTCACTCAGCAGGCTGAAGTGGTGGCCAAAATACGAGGCAAGATGTGACAGGAAAATTAGAGCGAATGCTTAGATTTTAAAAATTATTACATTAAAAGACACATTGCCACTCAAAACACTCCCAGTTGGTTCCAACACACTCGTTCCTCCATTCTGGCCACTTTCTGCAGCAGCTCTGGAGTCCTCTTTCCTGAGTGTCTTTAGGTGTGCTGTCCTGGCTGCCTTGAAGTCCTGAATGGATTCAAAACATTTCCTTTCATGGTCATTTTGACTTCGGGAAAGTGCCAGAAGTCGCACAGCACCATGTCCAGTGAATAAGATGGATGAGGACACAGCGTCATGCTTTTATGAGCCTGCCTTTCCGTTGGATGGCATCAGTAATTCACAGTATTTTTGATCACATCTTGTAAAAGACTTCTCGAACTGCTTCAGAAAGTGACAAGAATGATGGGGTAAGCGTCTTCCAAGCAAAAGGGGATATTGTGAAGGGGATTCATGGCAATGTGTCCTTTACTGTAATAACTTGTAAAAATTTAATCCTTCGCTGTATACTTTGATCACTCCGCCAGTTATTCAAACCTATATTTCACTGAGGAAACACGGGCAGCTCCGTAGAAGTGGTCAGAGCTCAAACTCTAGTCCTAGGGCCTGGGGGCGGGGTAGGGAGACACTGCCTGCAAACATTTAAGAAAGAAAAAGTGGAAACTCACCCAACGTAAAAGAGGAAGCTGTGCAGAGACTAGAGCGGGGTGAGGGTGCATAGCACCGGAAAACGGGTGAAAGGGTGACAGCAGGGAGGAAAAATCAAGAACAGTTTTCATGGGGGCCGCTGGGAGGCGCCACCGTGCTCATCACGGAGGGAGTCAGAAGAGCTTCCGGTCCCTGGGTTCGGACTTCCGGTTCTTACCTCTGGGTACCCAGCGAAGCTTTTGAATTGAAAGGAATTGCTCTGGACCCCTGACCTGAGCCTTGTCCCCCTTTCTCCCCGAGACCTGTGCTTTTTCCCAGCAATGGGAAAGGTTTGTCCTGGCTCCACTGAGCCCATCCTCTGGGCCATAGCATCCTCTCCGTCTGCTGAAGGCTCAGCCTGGCCTGGCATCAAAGCCCTTGCAGGGTGGGTGCTGCTGCTCTTCCAGCAGCAGCTCCGGAAGGCAGTCCCTTGTGGAGTCGGCATCTATGAGCACTGGGGCCAAACAGTGGGACCCAGCTGAGCACAATCAGCCCGGTAATCTTGGGAAAGTTGCTTCCTCTGTCTGGGCTTCTATCTTCTCATCTCTGAAACTGAAGTCGATAGCAGGCTTTTGGCTGGCTTGTTTGTTATTTTAAGGTGGTGGAGAGGGTCATGTAAGTCTGTACAATGTCTGCTTTACGCTGTAGGTGCTCAGTAGCAGCAGCTGTGCCATCACGCAGAAGTGACAGGACTTCAAAGAGGCTCAGGACATGGGGCAGCCTCTGATGGGTCAAGGGACCCAGGCCAGAGCAAAGCAGGCGGCAGGTAAAAATCCCCGGTAGAAATACTCTGGGTCAAGGAGAGCAGCTGGCGTGACCATTGGAGCATAGTGGCTCACCTCTCGGACCTGGCTCGGGGCAGGCTCTCTGTGGGCTCCACACCTTCCAGAGCTGCTGACCTGAGGTCATGCGGCCTCGTCTCTGCCTGTTCTCAGGTGACATTGCGGCCCCGCCCAGGTAATGCACTCGAAGGACCCCAGATTGCATATTAGATGCGAACACTGTTTCCCCCTGCGCATCTCAGTGAGGCTTAGATGGCAATTAAAAGAGAAAAAAACTAACCCCCCACATCCCCCGCAAAAAAAAAGATCTGGTCTCATCACTAAAACAGAGAGTTGTTCGTTACTGTGAAATCATCTCCCAACTGTGAGTTTATGGAAGTGGAGTAACTTTTATAGCGGTATTATCCCTGGGGTGAAAATACAAAATTCAAACATCTGTCCTGAAAATACACAGCCTGTCCAGGGACATTGCTCTGTGACAGGGAGCGGGCACTTAGGAGGGAAGAGGGTTTGAGGGCTGGATTTGAATCTTGCATCCTCCGGGACTCGGGGTCCCCCTGGTGTGGCCATGTGCTGCACAGGCCCCCAGGGCTTTGCCCCTTAGGTGTGATGCTCTGTTTGGGGTGCACCCCGCATGTGTCTCTGCTGTCCACTGTCTGGGGTCACAGAGCCTGACCCAGCTGGGCAGCCTAGTGGTCTGCACTGCGGGAGGAGGTGGACGCTGGACGGAAGCAGGGCGGGATGGGGTGGGCGGCTCCTGGCTCGTGTGAGCTTCCTGTTATTCTACTCTGCTGGCTTGCTCCTAAATTTAGTGTAAGTTAAAAAAAGACATGTTTCCAGGGCAGAGCCAGGTGAGAGTTCCTGTGGGGACGGGGCACTGCTTGGCCTGACTCTGTCCCTCGGGGAGGAGGAGAAGAGAGGGACAGCAGCAATTCGGCTCAACCAGGTGGAAAAGCAGGGGCTTTGTTTTGGTACCAGGATTGAACTCAGAGCTTTCTTTCTGTATTACATTCCCAGCCCTTTATTTTTAATTTTTATAGTTTGAAGCAGAGTCTTTCTAAATTGCCCCAGCTGGCCAGGAACTTGGGATCTTCCTGCCTCAGCCTCCTAGAGTGCTGGGATTATAGGCATGCAGATGAGGGGCATCATTTATGCTCTACACAGCCCTGCAACTACAACCCACAGTCTCCGGGACACGAGGGGGTGTCTCTTCCTCAGAACCCGCCACTGTTCTGTTTGCCGGTTGCTTGCTGAGAGAGCTGCCACCTGCCTGCCTTACCTTCTCAGCGTGCACCTCAAGTCGCGAGGCATTGTGAGGACTCCCGGTGGCAAGGGTGGCTGACGTGCATGGCGGGCAGGCCTCAGCATGGCCGCCCCAACAAGCTACTTCGCTTCCTGTCCCTCTCTGTGCTCCCAGCACAACTGTGGCCACGGACCAAGGGACCCTCCTGCAGCTGTACAGCCCAAAGGCCCAGCCTGGATTCTGATCCCGTCCGTGGCAGCTTCCACGGCGCTGGAGTCTCTGAGCTGGGGGCAGCCCGCTGAGACCTGCAGTCGGGGGAGAAGCCACTTCCCATTCTGTGAGAGGCGATTCCTGAGGAATCGGGCTGTGGAAATTTCAGCAAGTGTTGTTTTGGGTTTTTTTGTTTAGTTTGTTTTGTGTGGTGTTGGGAATTGAACTCAAGGCTTTCACACGGAGCCTTTTTTGTTTTTTATCTTGAGATAACAGCTCAATAAATTGTTAAATTACACAGGCTGGGTTTAAACTTGTGATCCTCCTGTCTCAGCCTCCCGGAGCAGTGGGATTATGACCTGCCCCCTCGTATCCTGATAGGAATATGTTTGTTCCAGTTCATATGGATCCTGGCTAACAAGGCAGTTGTGCCTCAGCTATAGACTAAGTTAGCTGGATGTCCCTGAATGCTCCCCCAGCTCAACTCCTCTATCCTTGTCCTTTGGAGATGTACGGTGCCCCAACACATTCGAATTAGTGGGAACAAAGTGTTGGCATCCTCTGTGGGTGATCGTGCTAAGAGTCCTGCGGCAGCGGCAGCAGGTGAGGGTCACCTGAGCAGAGGCGGGTGGCTTTGACAGCTGGGGATGCACTAGAGGCTTGGGCTGAAGGAAAGGGCAGAGGAAAAGGGGACCCAGGTGTTGCCCCCAGTCTTCTTGGGTGCTGGAGGTCCCTTTGTCTCCTGGGTGGGCCTCTCCAGCTGCTTGTTTTTAAACGAGACACACAGTAAGTGCTAGGCTGAGTTTGGGCTTGCAATCCTCCTGCCTCTGCCTCCCAGAGCACTGGGATTATAGGTGTGTGCTTCCATGTCTGGCTCGGAGAAGGTGATGTGGGACTTTGCTAAGTGTCCTTCCACATCCACGTACACCAGAGCCTCAGCAAGTGACCCAACGTGGAAGTAGGGTCTTTACAGATGTAAGTAATTAGTCAAGATGGGCACATACAGGGGAGGGGGGTCCCCAAGTCCAAAGACACACAGGAAGAGGCCTCGGGAAGGCAGAGGCAACCGCAGGACAAGGGTACCAGGAGTAGCTTATACCCCGGAAGGGGAGGGGCAGGCAGGCCCCTCCTCCGGAGCCTGGTCCAATCCACACCTGGGTGCGAGACTTCTGGCCTCCAGCACTGTGAGAGAATAAAATTCTGTCAGGTGGGAAGAACAGAATCACAATTCGGTTTGTGGTAGTCTTCTTCTTTGTTTTTTGGTGCTGGAATCGAACCCAGAGCTTTACACTGAGCTGTATCCTCAGCCCTTTTTTATTTTTTATTTTGAGACATAGTCTCACTAAGATGCCCAGATTGAACTCAAACTTGCGATCCTCCTTCTTCAGCCTCCCAGAGCACTGGGGCGACAGGCGTGCGCCACTAGGCCCAGCTGGCTTGTGATTTACACAGCAGCCCCTAAGCAGTGAATATAGCAGGAAGCTCTGTTTCCAGAGTTCTGGGTCTAAAAACATAAAAGAAGCCACACTCCGGCCCTGGCTGGGAAGTAGCCCAGGCCCCAGCACTCCTGATCCCTTATCTCCCGCTTGCTGGCTTCCGTAGCGGGCCTCACAGCGGCACTGAGGCCTCTGAGGCCAGGAATTCCAGAGGAGGCCTGGCCAAGGCCCACGTCCCACGCTAGATAGAAATCTTGGCCGTGGTGAGGCTACTCCCTTTGCCTACGGGCGGCAGCCCGGAGCTGGTCCTGGATAGCCCTGGAGGTGCAGCCCCCAGTGGGTGTTCTGGGGGCGTCTGCCCATGCTCAGCCCTTTACAGAGGAGGCTGGACGGAGCCTCAGACCTGCGTGCTCACAGCTCTGCCCACCCCCCACGATGCGACCCAAGCAGGACGTTTCCTAGCTGCCTCAGTTTCCTCCATGTGCGTCCTTGGCCAAGGGGGATGCAGTGAGCAGAGCAAGGGCCTGAGGACACTGTCTCTCCTGTGAAGTGCTTGAAAGTGCTCTCTGCCCGGGTACCAAGGTGGTAACCAAGTTTCCTTGGTAACGAAGTTGCCAGAGCCAGCAGCCAAGCTTGGGGTACTTCCTGCCAGGGCCCTGGACTCCTCTCTCTCTCTCCCTCTCTCTGTCTCTCTGTCTCTCTGTCTCTCTGTCTCTCTCTCTCTCTCTCTCTCTCTCTCTCTCTCTCTCGTGAGTCATTTGTAAGAAGCACTCATTTGTGCCCTGGAGTACGCAGGACACCCTGACTCTTGCTTGTGGCATCACGCGCTTCTGTGATATAAAGCGGAGATCGATCCTGTGACCGTCCCGGTCCTTCTAGTCACAAGGGCCTTGGACCAGGCTTCTGGGAAGCGGACAAGGGTCTCACAGGCTTAGTACTTTCAGGAAAGGGCTCCTTCTCAATACACCTTTAACCCAAGGAGGTTTGGAGGGACCTGGTGCAGAGTGAGGATATTTTCACAGCATTTCCTACAGAAAGACTGGAAGCAGATCAGCTGCTGGAGGTCAGGGCTCCCTGCGCGGTGACTCCGAGGATGGTGTGCAGACCCGCTCCTCTCAGGGACGCTCCTTCTTGGCAGTCGGGTATTTACTGACCGAATTGTTGGTGACACAGCTGTTAGCTCTTCTTTACAGATGAGGAAGACTGCAGAGAGGAAAAGAGGCCAGGAGCCCGGTGGCCGTGTGCTTCTGTCCCCAGGGGGGTCGAGGACCTCCCCCCTGAGGCCACAGGGACTCGGCTGGCCCAGCCACTGAGTAGGTGGGACAGTGGGTTCACCAACTTGTGTCACAGAAAAAGCCTTTCAGGATGAGTCTGTGTGGGGCAAAACAGATTTACTAGGATGGATCAGGTTTGGATGAAAACCATTTGGTGTGTTGGAGGGTTAGGGACACGGCGCCCAATTCACAGAGCTGTTTCCTTTAGGGTGGGAGTCTGGGACTTGTGAATCCATAGCGTCAGAGGAAAAGCCAGGCTCAATTTACAGGTTTATTATATCTGTAAGACCCTTAGGAATTTTTTGTTTTTGGAGTGAATTTCTAGAAAGCAAAAAAAGGCATTATAACCTTGGATAACTTTGTGCCCAAAGCTGCAGTTTTCTTAAGAGTATCATTTTAAAATTATGATTTTCTTGTCTTCTTCCTACCTCTCTTTATTTCTCTATCTTATCTCAGGTCCAGCTTCCCGCTATCCCCCAAACCTGGAATCGCGCTGCCTGGCTGTCTGGAGCTGCCCCCCTGGAAATGACCCAGGACATCACAACAGATCTGAGATAAATTGCTGACCCTCTGACCACAAATGATCATTTAACTTCCCCAAGACTTGGCATTTTCTTCTGTAAAATGGGTAGCTGCTGGAAAGCTTAACTGGGTAATTACTTAGGGGCACCTGTTCGATTTTGTCCCTGAGAAATCTTGCTGTTCCTCCTCCCTGGCCAGAAATGCCTGGCTCACCTTTGCAGGGCTGTGCTCGGCCCATGCAAATCAAGCATTCTTCCCCGGCCGCAGACAGGGTGCCCAACGCTTGGCCGAGCACCTCAGCCGTTCTCGGAGGGAGAGGAGCCACCCATCTGATCTCATCACCTTGACCGCCCTGTGTTTGTCACGCTGTGTTGCCGTGCTCCTGACCCCAGGTGGATGGCAGTCAGGTGACATGCAGTCAGGTGACAGTATCATGTTGTCATATTCCCGGCCCAGCTGGTTCGGGCTGCACTGTCAGATGCTGTGTCTGCGAGCAGTTCTTGAGACTCAGCAGTGTCCCCAGCACCAGGTGGAATCAGGGTTTCCTAGCAGGGCGTCCTCCTCCCCAGGGACACCTCCTAGTCCCACTGTGGTCTCCTCTGCTCCATCGGGGCCCCAAGCACCTGTGTGGGGTTCTGTATCTCCCCAGCAGGGGTCAGGGCTCAGCATGAGCTGGGAGTGGCTGGGAGGGTCCCTGGATCCTCCAATGCCTGAGCCTCGCTCTGCACCTCCTAGCAGTGCTTATATGCCCTGGGGCTCCACCCAGAAGCAGGCTGACTCTTGGGCTGTCCTGGTCATGAGGAATGGTCACAATCCAGAGAGGCGCTTCCTTGTGGCCTAGTTTGGGCTGAAGCTCCTGCCAGAAAGCCTCTTCCTAGTCAAAAAACGCTAGCAACCCCGCAGGCAACATGTTCCCTCTTGACATCCCCTTCCTATTTTCTGGGGCCTAGAACTGAATGTCAGCCCTGAGCAGCGAACATTTTGTGTCACCTAAAAGTCATGGATCCATGGAGCATGGTGGTGCCTGACTGTCATCCCAGCACTCTGGGAGGCAGAGGCAGGAAGAACAAAAGCTCGAGCCCAGCCTGGGCAACTCAGTGACCTAGGGAGAGCCTGTCTCAAAGTAAAACAGAAGGGACTGGGGATGGAGCTCAGTGCAAAGGGCCTGGGTTTCATCTCCAGCACCGAGCAGAGCCATCACTGCTCCGTGGGTGCATGAAACGTCCACTGTCTGGTTCTGCGGGAAGCTCAAGGGTGCCTCGTCCTCGGGACTCCGTAATAGCAGCGATACGCACATGCACGTGCGCACGTATGCACAGTAGGGACCATGTTTGTTCTGCTGCTTCTGTACCAAAGCCAATTGCTATCACACAGTCCAGGCAGTCAAGTATATAATCGAGGGCCCAGGGGGCCACGCTTCTTTCTGAAGGCTTTGCTCTTGAGCTTTCCAGCTTAAGATGAGTCATTGGCTGTGACCCCCCTCCTCCATTGCGGACCCCTCTTTGGCCTCTGCGACCATGGCTGGGAAAGGCTGTCCACTGCTAAAGCTCAGGGGATTAGCTGTGCTCACCGGGAAAGTCTGGCATCACTGCCCTCTCTCAGCCTTGATCATATCTCTCAAGTCCTTCTTGCTACGAAAGTGACATTTACATGCCTTCGGGAGTAGGACCTAGACATAGGGGGGAGCGTTATTCTGTCACAGGTACGTAGACACGTTCATAGTCACAACATGGTATACACTCATGTGCTTGTGTGTACAGACAACAACTGGTACCGTTGTGGGTGCACCTACCTTAACAATTATTTCCTGTACCTTGAAAAAGTATTCTCCACATTTTAAATGTTTTATATTAGAGATTTCTTTCATGCATACTTGTCAAATATATATATATACACATATAATATATATTATATATGTATGGTACCAATGTTCCTTTTTGTTTTGTTTTAGATGTAAGAGCATGCTCACATTAGATACTTACATAAATTGTTACATTATTTTTTCTTATGCAATATCTTTTTGTTTGTTTATGTGGTTCCAATATATTCTTTCCTTAAACTCTTAAAAAAAAAAAAAAAACTGGGGCTGGGGATTTAGCTCAGTGGCAAAAAGCGCCTGCCTGGCAAGCGCAAGGCCGTGAGTTCGGTTCCTGGTACCGGGGAAAAACCAAAA